CAGTCCCCCCAGTCCCCCCCAGTCCCTCCCAGTCCCCCCAGTCCCACCTCGCAGGCTCCGTGCCGCGGGTGCTGCCGCAGCCTCACGGGTGACGCCACCTCCTCCGAGGATGTCCCCGAGGGGGGGTCGCTCTCCCCGTCCGACCCCATCCGGGCCTCGTCCCCCCCCGGCTCTGGGGACACGGGGGGGTCAGGGACCCCAAGAACCCCAAACAGTCCCCAAAGGCCCCCAGGGGTGTCACACTGTGCCCCCCACCCCCATTTGGGGACACAGAGGTGACACGGGGACAGCGCTCGGGGGGTGGCAGCGGGGCCAGGTGGTGGCACCTGGGGGGGCACAGGGGACAGGACACGGGGACAGATGGACGGACACGGGGGGGACAAGCACCCCAAAATGTACCCCCCCAGCTTCTTAAAGGGACAGGCACCCTCTTAAAGGGACAAGCACCCCAAGATATGTCCCCCCAGCTTCTTAAAGGGACAGGCACCCTCTTAAAGGAACAAGCACCCCAAGATGTGCCCCCCCAGCTTCTTAAAGGGACAAGAACCCTCTTAAAGGGACAGGCACCCTCAATTTCCCTTCTGCCCCCCACAACCAAAGCTCTTAAAGGGACAGGCACCCTCTTAAAGAGACAAGAACCCTCTTAAAGGGACGGGCACCCCTCCATTTCTTTCCCACCACCCCCAGGCTTTTAAAGGGCCGGGCACCCCCAAACCACGCCGCCTTAAAGGGCCAGCTCCCCACTTTGGGGGGGCGGGGCTCGCTCCGAGGGGGCGGGGCTGCCCTTAAAGGGCCAGCGCTCACCGCTGTCGCTGCCGGCGCCGTCTCGGGGGTCCCCCAGGCCCTTGTCGGGGGCGCGGCCCCCCCGCAGCGTCATCGACAGCTGCCGCTTGATCTTCTTCATCCGGTCCATGGCCCTGCCCTGCGGGGACAGCGAGCGGGCACAGCTGGGCACAGCTGTACACCTGGGCACACCTGGGCACAGCTGGGCACAGCTGGGGCCACACTGAACACCTGGGGCGACTGCACACCTGAGCTGGGGCACACCTGGGCACAGCTGGGCACACCTGGGCACAGCTGGGGCCACTCTGAACACCTGGGGTCACTGCATACCTGAGCTGGGGCACACCTGGGCACAGCTGGGCACACCTGGGCACAGCTGGGGCCACTCTGAGCACCTGGGGTCACTGCACACCTGAGCGCCCTGCGCACCTGGGCACAGCTGGGCACAGCTGGGCACAACCTCAGCACCCGGGCCACACTGCACACCTGGGCACAGCTGGGGCCACCCTGCACACCTGGGGTCACTGCACACCTGGGCACAGCTGGGCACACCTGGCCCCTCCCCATCTCCTCCCCCCTCTCCTGCCCCGGCTCCACGTGATCCCTCCCCCCCCCCGCCAGTGACCCCTCCCCCAGAGAGAGGGGGCGGGGACAAACCCAAAGAGGCTCCGCCCCTTTTGGGGACTCCGGGGTTACTCCGGGTTTACTCAGGGGTTACTCGGGGGTTACTCTAAGCTTACTCAGGGGTTACTCCAGCGTTAGAACAGGAGGTTCCAGTGGTACCTTGAGGTTACTCAGGGGTTACTCAGGGGTTACTCTGAGCTTACTCAGGGGTTACTCCAGCGTTAGAACAGGAGGTTCCAGTGGTACCTTGAGGTTACTCAGGGGTTACTCCAAATTTACCCACAGGTTACTCCACTACTGCCCTGTAGTCACTCCAGGATTACTCCAGGGTTACTACAGGGTTACTCTGGGCACTCCAGGTACCCCAGGGTTACTCCAAGGTTACTCCTGGTACTGCAGGTTTACTCCGGGTACTCCAGGGTTACTCCCAGCACCCTCCCCCCTGCTGACAGGGCCCTCACAGTTTACTCATCGACTACTCCGGGGTTACTCCCAGCTCCCTCCTCTGTGCCACACCCCTCCCCCACACCACCTTTCCAGACATGTTACTCCAAGGTGTAAAAAATCTGCTTTACTCCAAGTTTACACACAGCTTACTCCAAGATGTAAAAACTCCGCTTCGCTCCTGTTTTACACAAGGGTTACTCCCAGGTGTAAAAACTCCGCTTTACTCCATATTTACACACACGTTACTCCAAGGTTTAAAACCTCAGTTTTACTCCAAGGTGTAAAAGCTCTGCTTTACTCCAAATTTGCACACAGTTTACTCCCAGGTGTAAAAGTTCCACTTTACTACATATTTACGCATAGTTTACTCCTAGATGTACAATCTCCGCTTTACTACAGGTTTAGTCCAAGATGTAAAAGCTCCATTTTACTCCATATTTACACCCAGGTTACTCCCAGCTGTAAAAAGCTCCATTTTACTCCATATTTATACACAGGTTACTCCCAGGCGTAAAAAGCTCCATTTTACTCCATATTTACTCCCAGGTGTACAAGTTCCATTTTACTCCATGTTTACTCCCAGTTTACTCCCAGGTGTACAAGTTCCATTTTACTCCGTATTTACACACAGGTTACTCCCAGGTGTACAAGTTCCATTTTACTCCATATTTACACCCAGGTTACTCCCAGGTACAAAACCTCCGTTCTACTCCAAGGTGTAAAAACTTCTTTTTACTCCCAAGTTACTCCCAGGTGTACAAGTTCCATTTTACTCCATGTTTACTCCCAGGTTACTCCCAGGTGTAAAAAACTCCATTTTACTCTGTATTTACACACAGGTTACTCCCAGGTGTACAAGTTCCATTTTACTCCATGTTTACACCCAGGTTACTCCCAGGTGCTCCAGCTCCACTCCACTCCGGCCTTCCTCCCAGCTGAGGGGGCGGGGCCAGCGCAGGGGGGCGGCTCCATCAGGGGTCAGAGGTCACGGGGGGCTCCTGCAGCCCCTGCAGCTCCCGCAGGCCCTGGGGGAGGGGCAGAGCGTCGGGGGCGTGGCCATCAGGTGGTGGGCGTGGCCAGCGGGTGAGGGGGCGGGGTTACCTCCAGCACCAGGCGGATGTGGGCGCGGATCTTGGCCCCGTCGCGCGTCAGGGAATCGCTGAGCCTGAAAGGGGAGGGGCTTGAGGGGGCGGGGCTCTGTGAAGGGTGTGGTTTTCTAAGTGGGTGGGGGATGACTGGCACAGCGGAGCCACGCCTTTTTCATGGGGTGGGGAAGTGTCTGCCTTTTATGTTGTGGGTGTGGCCAATGGAGTGTGGGCGTGGCCTGATAATGGCACTCCTTTTTTGGTCACAGGGTGGAGATATGATCTCCTTTTATGGGATGGGTGTGGCCAAAGGGGTGGGGTTTGCCCCTTTGGAGCTGTCTGTGACCCCAGGTGAGCACAAAGAGGCGTGGCCTAAGTGGGTGTGGTCCCAAAGGGGCGTGGTCACCTCCTCCCACCCCCAACACACCAGGAATGGGGCGTGGCATGGTGGGCGTGGCTCCCCAGTGAGGTGTGGCCTCGATGGGTGTGGTCCCAAAAAGGGGCGTGGCCAAGGCAGAATGACTGCGGATCAATGCCCAGCATCATGGGGCGTGTCCAGGCGAAGTGGGCGTGGCCGGGGGGGCGTGTTCAAGGGGCGTGGCCGGGGGTCTCACCTCTGCAGGAGGGAACTGCGGCGCTCCAGGTGCCGAAGGGCCTCGGGCAGCGTCAGCTCCGCGAAGAACCCGAAACCCAGAGCCACGAAAACGCGCCGGGGGTCCGGGCTGGGGGCACGGCCAGGGGAAACACGGGGTCAGGGGGGTCCTCAGGGGGTTTTTGGGGTGTCCTGGGGCTTGTGGAGGCTCGGGGGTATCGAATTGAGGGGATTTATGGGGTCCCTGGCGGGGTTTGGGAGCTCAGAGGGAGTTTTGGGGGGAGCTGGATTTATCCTAAAGGGGAATTGGGGTTCCAAAAGTTCCCAGGTTGGTCCTCGGGAGTTTTGGGGTCACTAAGGGGAGTTTTGGGGTCCCTACAGTGGTGAAGGGGTGAGTTTTAGGGGGGCTGAGGAAGTTTTTGAGGGGTCTGAACAGTTTTTAGGGAGGGTCTGAGGTGGTTTTGGGGGGTTTGAGAAAGTTTTTGGGGGATCTGAACAGGTTTTTGGGGATTTGGCAAGGTTTTAGGGAGGGTCTGAGAAGGTTTTGGGGGGCCTGAGGAGGTATTTGGGGGGGTCTGAGGAGATTTTTGGGAGTCTGAGGAAGTCTTAGGGGGGGGTCTCAGGAGGTTTTTGGGGGATTTGAGGAGATTTTGGGGGGTCTCAGGATGTTTTTGGGGTCCCTGCCCCACTCACACTTCGGCGCTGACGAAGAAATTGCAGCCGAGATCCACCTGGGTGTGCAGGGGGGCGGCGGCGTCCTGGGGACCCCAAAAACCCCCCGGGACCCCCGGGGTCACACAGAGACCCCAAACACCTCCGGGGACCCTCAAACACCCCCAGGGACCCCCAAACACCTCCGGGGACCCCGAATCTCAACCCCCAAATACCCCAGAGACTCCAAACACCCCCAGAGACCCCCAAT